TACATGATGTAATAACAGAGTACAAGGTTATCAACAATGGTTACCATAATGCCTCTTGCTTCCTTAAAAAGAATTGTCTATCTCATTAGGTATTATAAAGTTGAACAAAACAGTAGAGAACAAGACCAATAAAACCTAAACATTGTAAACATTACAGCACTTCCAAAGGAGATAATAGTCAAACCAGAATGGGCATCTTAGTGAATCTTATTGCCTTCAAAGTAGTTGCCTATACTCTTGATACTATCATACAGAATGGAACAGAGTCTAATCAGTTAAAACAAGATCGTGGGAGTATTACAGGGCTTCAAAACAAGTTAACAGGAAATCAAAAAAAGTTACTATAATATATCCTGCTAATTTTTAAAATTTTTCCCCTTAATTAAAAAAACCATAAAAAATAACTAAATAATCTTTTTAATGAATAAGGGAGAGATTGAGATAAAAGAGGACATAACAACATAACAATACAGGTCAAAGCATGACAATTTCAGCAACCTAGTGCTTCACCACCAAATAACCCGACTTACTTGCAGTTAACATAGTGTCTGTCTTTTTCCTTGAAATATTTGAATATAACTTCATATACTATAGCTTCAAATATTTCCATATCAAGAAGCCCAGAATAAAGCCTTTCCAAGTTAATAAGTGAAAACTTTATAAGGCTTCAAGGCCACATAATGGGGAAATCATGATTACCACATACTTTTATATATTTGAATCGTTACTTACATTAGGGAAACTATTCGGTATTCACACATGCGAGATAGATTTATTTCACTTATGAGTATGGTCTCAAGCTGCGCCCATTTATTGAGAATCATATATTGTAAACCTGAAATTTTAGGAGAACTCCAGCAATCCAGTTTGGCATGCATGAATGGTAATTAATTAAGAAACAAGGGAAATGAAAGAATAATTAAGAAAGATCCTCTCCTTTTCAGTCAGAAACCGCAACTAAGATAAGAATCTGAATTGTCCTTTCAAACATATGATGTCTTGCTGGGAGCTGGGAGTTAAGGAGCTTGTATGATGAGATCAGTTGTATTTTGAATGTACTAGTCCCTGTTCTGCCCTGAGCCAAGAGGATTAAATGGAGCTTCCATGGAGTACCTGTCTCTCACCTTCCCTCCTTTTGTCTAAATTCTCAACTAGTAAAAAGTAGTGGCTGTGTAGATGAGAGATGAGACTGATGTCATCTTCTAGGTTCTCTAGTCCTCATCTAGACTTGTGCGTTTCTGTGGTCAGGAGAAAGGTTTGAAACAGTTGAGGCTCTGCCCTGGAGATTTGGGTTCAGTAAATGTCTTAAGCCCTGACATGGATATTTCAAAACATTTCCTCAAGATTCTGACGTAGCTCAGAAGCATTTAATGGACAGGCATGTTTAATGGTGAATTCCTAATTCTCAGAAACTGAAGAAATCTCTAGATGAGTTGGATTAAATACCACTTCCTTCTAATCTCTCCTTTCCAACAAAATCAGGCCAAGTTCCATTTGTCTTTCTCTACAACTGTCAATAGGAAGTGAAAAGGAGTATCATCAGTGTAACCTATTGTTGTGCAGAATCCACCACTTTCCTTCCCCCCTGTGGTCATTCAGTGCCACTGGTAAGCTCTGTATTAATTCACTAATGGTTAAGGCTTAATCTTGATGAATTCCACATCTCTTTGTTATCATTACTGGCTCTCATTATAATCACTAGTGGCACAAAGCTGACAAATGTAGATTTTCAGGAATTTGAACAATGTCCACCTTGAATCTGTATTTAGTTGAGGCATGTGACAGACTATGTCACTGTATTCAGTTAAGAAAGCCCTGGCAGAAATCAATGAAATTGTAAGAACAGAGATGGGAATGCTTTTTAAATTCGTATTGCTTATTTCTTAGTGTGTGTGTGTGTTGGGGGGGTAATGGAGGATTGCACCTAGGACCTTCTCACTGAGCTGCATCCCCACCATTCATCACTGCTCACCCCCTGTTAAATTTGAGACAGTGTTTCACTAAGTTTCAGAGGCAGAAATCAGACATGAACTTGGATCCCTCTTCCTAGCCTCACAGAGTGATAAGCTTACAGGGTTGTACCACCCTATGCAGCTGGGAATTGTTGTGGTAATTTCTTTTCAGCGCTCCTTTTGAAACCGTTTAACAGCAGGGAGACCTGCATACAAATGGAGGATAAGTATAAGTGTTGAAAAATTATTGAAATAGTTATAATGCTTTTCATTTCATGGTAGGACCTCACTTTTTTGGTAAAACATGATGTTAAGGGAAGAGTTTTACACAGAAATGCTTGCTTTGTACACAACCATTTGGCAGCCCATGCATACCAAAGGTAAAAGCAAAACTCTGTGACTTAAACGTGGCTCTTAGCTCTATGCAGTTTTCCTGCATCAATTGAACTCACAAGGAGGTTTCAGAACCCTGCTCCAAATTTGAAGTTGAAGATGCTCAGAGAGAAGGGACTGTCCTGTCTTCAGAGCCTGTGTGACCATGCAAGTGCCCTTTTACAGACCCACCTCTGTGTTTCCCTGTGCACACTACTGATTGTGCCTCTGTGAGAGTTTGCAGCTCTTAAAAGATGGTATATTTTAATAAAGATTCTGGAATTTCAGAATATCTTTTATTCATTTATAAGAATGTAATCTAAGTGCTGGGGTTTTATCTCAGCAGCATAAGCGCCTGCCTTGCAAGTGTGTGCTCATGAGGTTGATCCCTGGTACTGATAAAAAAGGAAAAAGACAAAAAAAATAAAATAAAATGTCATCTAGATTTAAGAATAAATATTTAGAAATGGAATGGAATTTAGAAATTGTTTAAAATTGTTCCCATATGCTATAAATAATCATGTTCCTATCAGAATGCCTGTAGACATTAATAATTATAATCACAACTGAATAATTTATGCTTGTTACCAAGAATTTTGTATCTTTCATTTCAGCCTTGCCCCTTAAAAATATGTGTCTTACTGAGTTTCATTGTGATACAATTTTCATATTTAGTGGTATGAAAATTTTCATATTATGCAGTATTAGAATTTGTTCATTATGAGAAAATCCATCCTGAGCAGTGTTATAATTTATTTATTATGTTAAAATCCAAATTGAGCAGTATTAGAATCTTTATTGATGAACCATATTTTACATTTGATTTGTATAACATTGGTAATTGAAATGGAACCAGAATAAAACTTATTAAAAGCAATAGTTATGCATGGGGATCCCAGGATTGCTGTTATATATGAGAAGTGAAGTTTTGTACTCATCTTTCTAACAGCTGAGATAATATTTTCATCTAATAATAGGACATAAAGAGCCATAACTGGTTTAATAAGAAGTGATCCAAGTTCACTTGGGGCTGATCTCACAATTGAGTGACCATGTAATGGGGGTACTCCTTAAAAGCTGGAATGGTTAAGAATTGTAGTTGGATCCTGTCACCAGGTGGAGAATTCAGCAAGTTTCCTGCCTAACTGCTTTGCATGGTACCGAAACTGTTAATTCCCTGAAACTGTTAATTCCTCAGGTGTTGATATTTGGCAGAAGACAAGTAGTGTTGAATATGAGTAAAGCAAAGGTAAAGAGATTTTAATACTGAGGAAATAATGCAGTTTTATAATTTCTCAAACATGATTATCAAATCTGTTGAGACATAGAAGTCATGGAAAATTATTCTTTGGAAGATAGGCTGAGAATTCCTGCCCTAGGGATGATGATTTAACTCATTAATTTAATCCAAATCCTTCAATCATTTTTGACTGTGCATTATGGTTGGAGCTACTGAGAAAAAAGATACAGCCCCTGCCCTGAAGGTGCATTTGATTGAAGCGGGAGATGTTACATAACTCTGAGTACCATGATAAAGGTTGTGATGGAAATTTATCCATTGCATGTTTTTCTAGGAAATTGTTTTGCTGGCTTGCTATGACTTGGTATTCCCTATAACACAGAGAGGATAGATATATATGTAGAAATTCACACATGGGTTCTTTTTTTCTTTTTAATTATTTATGGGAACAGATTATATAATGTAAGATGTAATGAACAGATACTCTGAGGAAGAGACACTAGGAAACTCGAGGCTAATTTAGTAGCATTATGATAGAAATTCTAGCAATACTAATGTTTGCTGATTAGAATGACATTGGACTGGTTTCTTGAGTTCAATTTCAGCATATGTAGAGATGGGGACAGCTATCACAAAGAGAAGGAGAGATGAGTTGGTAGTTACTATTGTCTTCCCTAATTTGGTACTTGAGGACCTAAAAAGTCTTCAATGATTTGATTGTTCTATAATATACACTAAGTATACAAGGTGGATGAAGAAGGGGACAACTATTTGTAAAAAACTAGAGACAGTTAGATAGACAATCAAGATCTCCAGTGGGCTTCCTATGAAATCTGTATTTCTTTAAATTGTTTTTTAAACTGCTATGTTCTGTTTTGATATGTTTAATCTTACCCTCTTTGAGAAGTAAAACAAATGTGTAGGAGTGATAACCACGTTACTGAGCTCTTGTTCGATCATAGAGCAGAAGGGTTTGTAGTGTCACTTTATGAATGTCATTCTAAATGCTTTAATTCCATAACATGAACAGCTACTTCTAAGATGACAATGTGTAACTTATCAACCAGCAATTTCTTACCGTTTTTCTGTAAGTTTGTATCATTTCTACCCTTTTTTAAAATCTCCATGTATTCTTTTGTTTCCTTTTCTTTAAATAAAAAATTAAAAAAAAAAAAAAAAAAAAAAGAAAGACCCTTGGAACCAGTGACTGGAGCGAGTTGTGACCCTGGGGTTTCTGTAGCCACTGTGGGCAGAGAGCATGCACTGCAGAGGGTATGGCAGGGCAGCACGTGTGGAAGCACTGGGAGTGAGAAGGAAGAGACTGCTGTGTGTTGTTATCTATATCAGGTTAACAGTCAGGGTCCTTCACAAGCTGTTCAGTTCAGCTGAGAAGCAGGCAGTTGTGTGGGTTTTAAATTGTTTCTGCTTCTCCACAGGAAGGCCTCACACCACTTATGCTTGCTCTAAGGGAAAACAGAATGGACGCGGCAGCAGCATTGTTAAAATTTAAGACAGAAACAAAGTATGTGGTGAATGAGCCAGAAAGGTATGGTTGTTCTTTTTTTAAACAAGAGTTCAGTAGTGTTGTGGAGTGGTAATAAGTCAAATAAGTCAGTAGCTGAAAGACTACCTTAGTGATTGGTGTATAATGAAAAAGATCAACACAAACCATCAGATAGAAAAATTATTTGGATTGGGCAACATAAGGAATACTGTGCAGTACAAGTCATGCTCTATTATTGAGTAATTTTGACTGATGTCTGCTTTTTAATGAGAAGAATAACTTTTGTAGTAAAACAATAAGGAAGAACACTGTATTGCTATGTTCATGGAACTTCCTCAGAGTACAAAACATAAACCTAAATGCTTCATAGAAAAAGGAAAAAGTGTAAATGTTTCTTTTCAGTGATTGAAAATGAGCTAGTAATATAAACAAGTTGGCATATAAAAATATTTGGAGAAGCAAAATATGCAATTTGGAAAAGTATGCTCATATAAGAGAAACCAGAAAATATTTGAATTTCTGTGTCAGACTTATTTAAAAGAACTTTATATCCTCAAGTTGCATTCATTTATCTATGAGTTCCTCAAGGTTATCTTTCTTTTTCATAGTGCAGTATTCCATTGTGTATAGTTGCCATTTTCCTTGTACATTATTCTCTTAATGGATGTACACACTATCTTAGAGATGTAGCTGTTAGAAATTGTGCTGCTGTAAACATAGATATCTATATATCCCTGTATGTATGATTTTAACTATTTTGGAAGATTTCTGCAAGGGGACATAGCTGTGTCAAGTGGATTTCTATTTTTAGTTTTTTGTGGAATCACCACACTGTTTGCTGTAGTGTTCATACTGGTTTACATTTGCACCACTGGTGTAGAAAAACTCATCAGCATTTATCATTAGACTTTTTTTCATGGAAATCTTTGTAAGATAAAATGCTATCTTGGTGTATATTTAATTTGCATTTATGTAATTTCCAGAAGCAATGATGAGTTTTCCATGTTTTTATTGGCCATTTGTACTTATAACAAGTATCATTTCATTTTATTTTTCTGTTCTTTGAGCTTTCTTTACTAGGTCTATACTTTGATGCTTGTCCTCTGCCTGTGGAGTGACTAATAAGGGTTTTTTTTTTTTTTTTTTTTTTTTTTTGTATTCTGAAGGTTGTCTCTTTCTGTTGGTTGTTTCCTTTGCAATAGAGAATCTTTTTAATTTCACGAGACTCCATTTGTTGATTCTCTATATTGTATTTTGTGCCATTAGGGTTTTGTTCAGAAAGTCCTTGCCTATGCCTGTGTCTTTGAGTACTGCCTATTTTGTCTTCCAGAAGATTGCTTCTGTTTTAACATTTAGTTCTTTGGCCCATTTTGGTTATAGTTTAGTACATGGTGAGATATGTGGATCTAGACTCAATCTGTTGCACGTAGGTATCCAATTTTCCCAGCACCATCCCTTGAAAGAATATCTTTACTCCGGTGTATGTTTTTGACTCCTTTGTCAAAGATCACACAGCGCTCTGGCTCTGTGTGCTTTGAGTTGTCTCTGTTTGTTGTGCTCTCTTCAACTGATGCACATGCCTGTTTCTATGTCAGTACCATGTGGGTTTCATCACTGTAACTTTATAGTGTAGCTCTGAGCTTGGGATTATGATTCTGATGCCACCTGCGTTGCTTTTGTCACTTTTGAGTCTCTTCTAATTCCACCAAATTTTAGGATAATGTTTCTTTAGCTCTGTGAGAATTGACTTTGGTATTTAACTTGGGGTTGCATGAAGTCTGTTTACCAATATTGAAAGTCAGGCCATTTTGACAGTATCAGTTTTGCCTATCCAGAAATGAGGAATATCTTTTCATTTTCTGATATTTTAGTTGCCTTTTTCTGATTTGTGTAATTTCCACTGTACAACTCTTTGCTTTCTTAGGTTAACATCTACCCATTTAAGTTTTTTTGATGCAATCGTGAATGATACTGTTTTCCTAATTGCTTTTTCAGTGAGTTCTTCAATATTGTAAAACATTGCTATTGATTTTCATCTCTGTATGTGTGTGTGTGTGTTTTATCCTTGTATCTTATTAACCTTGGCTAACAGTTCTAGAATTGTGTGATGGACAGTTTAGCATTTTGTAAGCAGAGGGTCATGTCATGTGCAAATAAAGGCCTTGAATGACTATATTGATCAGGAATGGTGATAAGAAGCCTCCTTGTCTTGTTCCTGTTTTTAGAGAGAAGGCTTTTAGTGTTTCCCCGTTGCATGTGATGTAAGCACGAGGATGGTCATAAATGACTTTTATCATGTTGAGATGAAAACATTCGGTACTTATTTTCTTCAGGATTTTGAGAATGAGTGTTGCATTTTATCACAGCCATTTTGCATTTTATCATAGCCGTTTTCTCAGCCTGTTTAGATGATCGTGTGGTTTTGGGTCTTGCTTCTTTGTAGATGAGGAATTAGAATTATCATTTGTGTTTATTGAGCCTCTTTGTATTCAGGGGCCTGAAACCTGTTTGGTACAGTGCATGATGGTTTTGATAATTTATTGCTTTTGGTTTACCAGTATCTTATTAAGGATTTTTACATCCATGTTCATTAAACAAATTGTTCTCTAATTGCCTTTCGTGGTTGTATTATTTTCTAGTTTTGTGATGAGGATAATGATAGCTTCCAAGAATGACTTTTGAAGTCCTACTTTTATTTTTACTGCAGAGTTTTTTGTGTTAGATATTCACAGAAGTTGTTATAGAGTTTCATTGTGAACCCATCAGGTTCTGGGCTTTCTTAGCTGGTATTTTTTTTTTTTTAAGTTCTCAAATTTCCTTGCCTGATGCTAGAAGATTCAGGATTTTCATATCTTTTTGTTCTTTTTTGGTAATCCATATATATCTAAGAATCTCTCCATCTTTTCTGAACAAAGGCTTAGCATATACTTTCATGAAATAGTTGCTAATAACTTCTTGAAGTTTGACAATGTCTATTGTGATTCCACTTTTTTATTTCTAATTGTAGTATTTTATATGTTTTGGCTTTCGATAAAATTGGCTTATGTTTGATTTACTTTGTTTATTTTTTCAAAAGCTCTTCAATTCAGTGGTTCTTTTTTTCCCTCTAGTTTCTATTCATTGATTTCTGTAATGAGGTTGATAGTGTTTTTATTTTTACTAGCTGTGTGCTTGAATTGTTCTTATTTTTCAGTGACCTTGCGATGCATCATTATGTTTTTGAGCTCATCCTATTTTGTAAAAATGAAAATATTCACTTCTCTATACTTCCTATATTGAACTAGTTTCATTGTATCTCATAAATATTGGTGCACAACTAACTCTAGGAACTGTCTTATTTCTTCCTTAATTTTCTCTATGACTCAGTGATTGTCTTTAATATCCATCTGTTTGCACAATTTCTGTAGTTTCTTTTGCTATTGATATCTACTTGCATCGCACTGTAATCTGATAGTATGCATAGTAAAATTTTTATTCTTTTGCATTTACTTAGTTGTGCTTTATTAACCAGAATATGGTCTGTCTCCAAGAAAGTACTATATGAGACTAAAGAATGTATCTTCTGTTGTCTTTTGGAACACTGTATACAGTACATCTCCAAGTGACAAACATTCAAGTTGCAAAGTTTCAGAGATGCAAATGGGACCTCACATTACAAAAAATTGTAGATGCAAAGAAATCAGAAAGGTTGCTTGTGTGTCTACCAGACACTGCTACAGTTGTGCTATTGTGTGCTTACAGTATGTACAGCTTTACAGAGCTACATCAGAACCTGGGATGTCTGGAAGCAAGCAGAAAAGCAGCAGTGATATGGATGTTGCTGCTAAGAAGTGCAAAGCAATAACCATGGAAACAAAAGTGAAAATAATTAATTGCATTGTGTCTTAGTTACTTTTCTTTCTTTGCTGACACAAAATACCCAACACTGAAAATTAAGGAAGGAAAGATTTCTTTAGCTTACAGTTTGTGGAAGTTTCTTTCCATAATCAGGTGGCTCCAGGGCAGGATGGCATGGCACCAGGGCAACACATTGACAGCAGCAGCTTGCAAAAGCATCCAGAGCAATAAGGAGGAAGAGAAAGCCTCTTTCCCACCCTTATACTCTACACAGCCCAATCCAGAGCAGGTGTAACACTCCCCAAATGTCTGTCCTCCTCTTTCACAGTATGAGAAAATTTACAAAGAAGGATCCTGGATCCCTGTTGAGTCTCTCGTAAAAGGTGTAAAGTTCTCAAGTTGACACAGTGTATCAACCACAACAGATAGAGGTAAAAAAAAATAGTACACATGGCTGGTTTTTATAACATGAATCATGCAACCATGTCCACAGTTATGAAGAAAAGGAACAATATATTGAAATGTGTGTGGTCCACTGTGCCAATGAAGCCATTTTGCTGGACTTACAGAGAAATCTGACTTCCAAAATTCTCCCTGAATAGAACTCATTAATAAGTCAGGGAAATTACTGTATATATAGTAAGTCCATTTGTTTAATGTTTGGTTCAACTTTTACATTTCTTTGTTAATGTAATTTTGTTTAGTTGAAGAATTTTTGATAATGGTGTGTGTAGATCTTTTACTAAAATTGTATTGATATTTATTATATAATTTTCATTAGGTTTTTTGGGTCAAGGTTAGTCACTGTTGCTTGGCATGTTTATAAGTATTATCTCTTTCTATTGAATAAACACATTAATGTAACATTTGTTTTGCTTTCTTTTCTTTCTCTCTCTCTCTCTCTCTCTCTCTCTCTCTCTCTCTCTCTCTCTTTCTTTCTGTTTTTTTTGTGTGTGCATGTCTCCTTTGAATAGTTTTGCCTTGAAAACAGGATTACCCCTCCTGCTTGTTTTGGGTTCTCTTCGTGTTGAATATGGTTTTGCAAACTTTGATTTTTTAATCCATGGAATTTTTATTGTATGAATATCTTTGTTTGTTTGTTGCTGCAGGGTCTCACTATGTATTACAGGCTGTCCTTGAACTTGTTTATATAGCTCAGGAAGGCCTTGAACTCACAGTGATCTCCTTATCTCAGTGTGGCTTTA